TTTACCCTTGGTCCACGGGACTTCTTTACCTGTTCCCTCCCTTACCTCTGCTTCTGAGAGTGGTCCGCAAAATAGTCAGAGATGGCGCGGACTGTATATTGATAACCCCATGGTGGCCAAGACAACCATGGTTTTCGACAGTCCTCAAATTATCAACAGGAATATACCATCAATTCCATCAATTCCCTCCAGCTCAGGACCTCCTCTTCCTGTCACACTCCCCTCTCCTACATCATGACATACCACAATTGAAATTGACAGCGTGGAGAATAACATCAACGGTTTTTCCACCCGCGTAGCAAACGTTTTATTGAACGCCCGAAAACCTGCTACATGGAAGTCCTACAATTATAAATGGTGAAGGTTCTGTTCTTCCCTAGGTGATGACGCCCCTCAAGCCATCTCTGCGTGTCTCAACAAGGTTTTCCAATTCCTCCTGTCCCTAGCTGACTCGGGACTTTCCCATTCATCCTTAAGAGTTTATTTGGCCGCCCTTTCAGCCTACCATGTTCCAGTCGACAGATGCACACTGTTTTCCCATCTGCTTTCAAAACGGTTTTTTAAAGGTTTATTGCATATATACCCTCCTGTTAAAACTCCTGTTGTTCCCTGGGACCTTCCTCTAGTTCTCCGCCAGCTCACGAGGAAGCCCTTTGAGCCGCTTGCAACCTGCGACCTCAAACTTCTAGCGTGGAAAACAGCCTTTTTAGTTGTTGTCACCTCGGCTAGACGAGTGGGAGAAATAATAAGTTTCTGGCATGATACACCTTACCTGTCGTTTTTGCCAGACGGAGTCCTCCTCGTACCGGACATCTCCTTCCTGCTAAAGGTGGTGTCAGAGTTCCACCTGCAGGTGGAGGTCTTCCTCCCTGATTTTTTCCCAAATCCAACATCCGCAGAGGACAAACTCTTACACACTTTGGATGTGAAGCGGGCTCTCCTGTTCTACCTCAATAGAACACACTCAACTAGACGAGACTCGCAACTGTTCGTCTCTTACGCATCAGCACGGCTGGGGACTCGCAACCCGGCTCAGCGCCTGTCAAAGTGGATTGTGGGTCTCATCCGTCTCTGTTACCTGATCGCCAAACAGCCATTGCCTAGCCCTATCAGGGCTCATTCTACCAGAGCTGTTGCGACTTCCACTGCCTTCCTCCAGGGAGTGCCCCTGACGGACATTTGTAAAGCCACTACCTGGGCCATGCCTAACACCTTCATAAGGCACTACGCCCTAGACGTCCGTAAGAACGTCAATACCAACATGGGACGTCACATTCTGTCTTCGGCTATGCAGTAAAGAACCTGGCAGCACCCTCCTCCAGGTAGGCCACTGCTCGCTAATCTCCCATGGGTGTGAAGCACAGAGACCACGTCGAAGATAAACAGGTAGCTTACCTGTAACTGGTGATCTTCAAGTGGTCATCTGTGCATTCACACCACCTGCCCTCCTTAGGGCGGTTCAATCAATAGGGGTTGATTTGTGGCTGTCTGAAGGAACTGGCGGGTTGTCCACGCCCTCCTCTCTGGGCATGCGCGGTGGGGTTCCTGCGCATGACCGAGGTCTGGCCGCGAAAATCCGTTAAAGAGCTTGCTACAATGCCGATCGATCCAATGCGTGCGCACTAGATCCCCATGGGTGTGAATGCACAGATGACCACTCGAAGATCACCAGTTACAGGTAAGCAACCTGTTTATCCAGCACAAAATATCTACTTGTGCTAGAGCTCTTGTGCAAGTGGAAGTGCAAGAATGAGACCATAGTAACTACTTGCGTTGAGTCCCTACTTGCATTTTCACTTGTAAAAGATATTGTTCAGTCAGTTATGGGGCACTTAGGGAGGAAAGCACTAGGAGTTACAAAATATCTTACTGAAGCAGAACTGTGTTGTGTCCATTTTTGTTTCCATTTGTGCAGTCTTAGATACAAGTCATCAATGTGCCACAATGAAACATTTATATTTTTAAGAATTTGACAAGATTACACTATCTTGTATATTTGATTTTTAGAAAGAAGTGGCCACTCCAGAAGGAGAAATAACTCAGCAAGGTGAGAACGATTGTGCCAATTTATCTTTTGACTTTTAACTAACTCATCTTTGTTTCATAAAATACTAAATTGCCCAATAAGTTTTTTTTTTTTTTAAAGAATATCAGTCAGCACTTTTTGGACCCCAAATTGTTATCAACCACAGGTATCTGGGCTTGTGCAGCTCCATTTCAGCTAGTATGATACAGACCCACTTGGTAGTATTTGACAGGTCTGTGGGCCACTGCTTCATTCAACCTTTCTTCTTCATGTACCACTTTCTTGAATTCCTCTTTTTTCATTTCAGGTATAGGATCTCTCTGCTTTGCTTTGCTTTCTTGGCATTAATGTTAAAATGAACTTGTGGTCTGGCAGCATTAAGGCTGAGAGAACCTTCGCAGAAGGTCCCAGGTTCAACCCACAGCATCTCCTTTAAAAAGTTAGTAGGCAGTAAAACAGCGAGAGCCACTACCGGTCAGGGTAGACAGTACTGGCCTTGATGGACCAATGATCTGGCTCAGTGAGTAAACTTTAGGTGTTCATGTTAAATCCTTGATTAGATTGATCTGACGCCCTTAATTTTACAATGAATGCAGGGGGAAAAGGCATGCTCCTCTGCCCTTGCCACGCTGTCATTGTGGTCTGCTTTGTGTCAGAAAAAGAACTGAACCCTGCCAATTTTAAATTAGAAAGAGAGACAAAACATTGTTAAAGCCAACTAAATTAACTGGCTACAGTTCCAGCCAGTTGCAGGAAGCTTACTGTAAATATAGCAGAGTTGACTTAGATCTTGTTTCTTTCTGAATTTTCTAATTATTTTTTTCCAGATGGAAATAAGCAATATAGTAGAAGCTGTGTTCCAGTTGCCATTTAAACTGTTTCTAGGAGTGAAAGAAATATATTGTTGGCTGGTTTTAGTCTTTCATGTAAAAGCAAAATGGAACACAGTAATGAAATTTAGGCTTGAAATAAATTTTATAATTTCCCTGCGGCTAGGAGGGGAGGAATGTTCTTATATCTTTTATGAATCTTGAATCATCAGACTTCAGTTCTAACTGCTTCTCAAGACTTTCTTCAATTTGTTAGAATTTTAGCCCTTTTTACTTTCTTAGTTGGTAACAAACACCAAATAATTCACTGTGGTCCTGATCTTGCAACTTATAATATAAAGATGGAGCTGCAGTCACTTGAGCATAGCATGGGATTTGTTGCTCAGAGAGTTCGTACAGTCATCAATCTTTGAAAACTGTTTGCCACACAGGAAAGACGGTATGAAGAGAAACCTGTCACAAAGCAGCAAAGGGGCCTATTATGCTTTTGATGTCAATTGCCATGTACTTATTCATTTATTTATTTATTTAATTTATATCCCGCCCTCCCCAAACGGGCTCAGGGCGGCTAACAAAAGAGGCACATGCCCGAATTGAACAGCTAAAAACATAATAAAACAATCCATCACAACAAAGTGCTGGTGCTCTTAATGTTGGTTCTTATCGGTCCAAGATGGGGTTCCGTTGACCAGCCTAACCCGTCAGTATAAGTTCTGGATAATACTACTGTCGTCCTTTCATGACCAGTTCTTCAGGTCATCTGGTCATCTTCCCAGGGCCACCTCACATCCAGATCGAATCCACCGTCAGAAATGGCAGCTCGGTGGTAGTACAGTGGCGGCAGCGGCTCCAATGCAAAAGCCTGGCGGAAGAGCTCCATCTTGCACGCCCTGCGGAACTGCGCACGGTCCCGTAGGGCCCGGATCTCCCCTGGGAGCTCATTCCACCAGACAGGAGCCACCTCCGAAAAAGCCCTTGCCCTGGTTGCGGCCAACTTGATGTCTTTGGGGACTGGAACAACCAATAGGTGTTGCACCCCTGACCATAGTGCTCTTGGGGGAACATATGGGAAAAGGTGGTCCCTTAGGTATGCTGGACCCTGGCCATCAAGGGCTTTATAGGTAAGAACCAGCAGTTTGAAGCGAATCAGTACGCTATAGGCAGCCAGTGCAGCACCTTCAGCACCGGCTGGATGTAGTCCCGCCTAGTGAGACCCATCAGCAGCCTGGCTGCCGCATTCTGCACTAGCTACAGCTTCCAGATTTGCGACAGAGGCAGCCCCATGTAGAGAGCGTTACAGTAGTCCAGCCTCAAGGTGACCGTTGCATGGATCACTGTGGTCAAGTCCTCGCGGTCAAGGAAAGGAACCAACTGCCGCGCCAGCTGAAGATGATAAAAGGCTGATTTGGCAGTCGCTGCCACCTGGGCCTCCATCGATAAAGAGGAGTCCAGAAGCACTCCCAGACTCCTAACCCTCGACACTGGCACCAAAGGCGCCCCATCAAAGGCCGGGAGAGGAAGCCTCAACCCCGAACTGACCTGACCTAGGCCCAGGACCTCCATCTTCACCGGGTTTAGTTTCAACCAACTCAGTCTGAGCCAACCAGCCACAGCTTGCAATGCCCGATGAAGGTCATCTGGGTCGGAGTTCGACTGGCCGCCCAGCATCATAGAGCTGGGTGTCATCCGCATATTGATGACACCCAAGCCCAAAACTCTGGACAATCTGGGCAAGGGGGCGCATATAGAAGTTAAATAACATCGGGGACCGCACTGCCCCCTGAGGCACCCCGAACTCGAGAGGGTGCCTCCGGGACTGCTGATCCCCTATTGCCACCCTTTGTCCCTGACCTTGCAGGAACGAGGCAAACCATTGAAGGGCAAGCCCCTAAATCCCCATGTCAGTGAGGCGGTGGGCCAGCAGCTGATGGTCGACCGTATCGAACGCGGCCAACAGATCTAACAACAGCAATGCTGCCACTCCACCTCGATCCAGATTCCTATGGAGGTTGTCAGTTAGGGCGACCAATGCCGTCTCCATCCCGTAACCTGGGCGAAAGCCAGACTGGAAGGGATCTAGGACCGAAGCATCCTCCAGAAAGCCCTGTAACTATAACGCCACCGCCCTTTCTATACGTTTGGCCAAATAGGGCAAATTGGACACAATGCTGATCTTTCTAGGTAATCTGCTATAGCCTAGTAAATGTCATCCAAATGGTATTTATTTATTAAATTTATATCCTGCCCTTCCCAAATTGGCTCAGGGCGGGTAGCAACAAAGAGCATAAACAAACAATTAACAACAAAGTGCATAAACACTTAAAACCAATAATACAATTAACTCTTAAAACAACTAAAACCCTTAAACAATTAAAAGATGGCACATTAAATATTTATTTATTTTTATTTATTTATTTATAATTTCAATTTATAGCCCGCCCGCCCTGCAACGCGGGCTCAGGGCAGCTCACAGATAGGCGTAAGCCAACACATAAAAACAGGTTAAGACCATATAAAACCATCACTACAATGTTACAACATATTAAGTGCTCTAGATGTTCCAGAATAATCTTCCATAAAAGATGACATCTCAAAGATGGTACACCCAATCAGTGCTGTCAGTTCCACGTGACACTGTCGTTCACTCTTCCCAGGGCCAGTTGGTAATGATGGTAAAATAGTGATGGTATGATAGTGGCAGCTCCTACTCAAACGCCTGGCGGAAGAGCTCCGTCTTGCAGGCCCTGCGGAACTGCACTATAACAGTTCAGACCCCCTATAAATCTGACTGATGGTAAATGGAGCCGTACCAGGTTCATATAGTACAAAACTCCACATAGGGCAAATAGTCATGGCAACTTCTATGCAGGGAGGCCAAATAATTGGGTGTCCACTGCCTCAACTGAAGGCTTGGTGGAATAGCTCCATTTTACAGGCTCTGCAGGCCATGATCTCAAGTGGGAGCATGTTCTACCAGGAAGGGGCCAGGACAGAAAAAAAACCTGGCCATAGTTGAGGCTAAGTGGACATCCTTTGGGCCAAAGACAACCAGTAGATGTTGATCAGTGGAGCGCAAGGCTCTTCGGGGAGGGGGTATATGGAGAGAGGTGATCCCTTAGACATGTATGTCCCAGGCCACTCAGGGCTTTAAATGTTAATACCAACACCTTGAAATGGATCCGGTACTCAATTCGTAGCCAGTGCAATTGGCGGAGCACTGGCTGAATATGCGCCTGCACAGATGTCACAGTCAGCAGGCGAGCTGTTGCATTTTGCACCAGCTGGAGTTTCCGGGTCAGGTTCAAGGGTAAGCCTGGGTAGAGCAATTTACAGTAATCTAGCGTGGAAGTGACCATTGTATGGGTCACTGTAGCCGGATCCTGGGTGGAGAGATAAGGGGCCGGTTGCCTGGCCTCATGGAACACCCAACTGTCAGTGATTTGTGAGTGCCTGGAAACTCAGTGGTATAAAATACTAATGAAACAGTATGACAGATTGATGTCTGTGGAGAAAATTAACTGCCGCAATATGGGACACAGTTGAGTGGGGCAGAACCTACCCCCCAGGCTCTGGTAATTATGCCCTTCCTTCCAGAGTCTTCCTGATTTCATCCTGTTGACATTTGAAATGTCTACATGTAGGTCTTCCACAGATGTATATGAAAACAAAAAACATTATCTCCCCATCACAAGTTCTGGCAATACAAATGTAAGTTGACAATGAGACAAAAAATAAGAGAATTGGAGCAGATTGCTAAAAACACCAAGAAAACAATATATATTTCTTCAAATATATCTGGAGGATGCCATCTAGGAATAAAGGTCCCTAGGGATAATATATCTGGAGGATGCCATCTAGGGATAAAGGTCCCTAGGGATAATATATCTGGAGGATGCCATCTAGGGATAAAGGTCCCGCAGGGCCTGCAAGACGGAGCTCTTCCGCCAGGCTTTTGAGTAGGAGCCGCCGCCCCTACTATACCACCACCGCCCTGAGGAAACATCTGAAACATCTGGATATTGAAGAAGCCCTAGCCGTGGGATTTAGCCGTGGTACCACTCGTAATTTTTGGACCTATGATTTGCTATGTTGGGACTGTTGGAAGTATTGAGTACTATGTTTTTACTGAGGATATTTTAAGATGTATTAGATGTTTTGTATTATTATGCATTTGATGTTTTTATTATGGCAAGGTTCTGCCTTGCCTCTGTAAGCCGCCCTGAGCCTATTGGGGAGGGCGGGGTATAAATTTGAAAAATAAATAAATAAATAAAGTTGGGGCTTTGGATGACAAAGAAATAAAAGAACTGCTTAAGGAAGATGAAGTGGTGGCAGATAAATTGAATGAATTCTTTGCATTTGTTTTCACTGTGGAATATGAGAGACACATACCCACACCAGAGCTGCTGTTTTGGGGAAGGGTTTCTGAAGAATGGAGTCAAATTGAGGTGGCAAGACATGAAGTTTTAGGATTACTGGGGAAATTAAAAATGAATAAGTCTTCTTGTCCAAATGGCATACACCCATGGATTCTTAAGGAACTCAAGTGTGAATTTCTCGATCTACTAACCTGTATATAACTTGTTGCTAAAATTGGGCTCTGTACCAGAGGACTGGAAAGTAGCCTATGTTACATCAATTTTTAAAAATGGCCTAGAGATCTAGGAAGTGACAGGTCAGTTAGCCTAAGCACATAGATCCTCAATGTGGTGCCTGTGGGCAGCACAGCACCCGCCAACTCCTTTCTTGGCGCCCACTGAGTGTTTTTAGAAAGTGGGCGGGGCCAGCCAGGCTTTTGTGTAATAGGGCTTCTGATTGCCCACTAGAGTTGCCAGCTGCTGCCACTGTAACACAAGGATCTTAAGTGCATGACTGGTGTATCCAAGAAAATATTTTTAAACAATATGTCTATTTAAAAAGAAATCCTGTTAAATGGAGCTTCTGCCTAAACTGTTAAGAGTAAGAAGTAAATGTTAAAGAGAAAGAAGTTGTATACACAGAGTACTTCATTCAGCTTCGTTCCCTTTGCCATGTGGAGGTGCTCTTAGTAATGCAGAATAGAGTTCTTTGTTACAATACAAAGAGCTCAGAAACTTTAGTGGGTTGTTTGCTATTTTGTTGCTTTCATGTAGTATACCTCCTGATGCCAGGCCAAACACTTGATACAGCCATCACTATTTCATTCTTCTGTCAGAAGCATCTGAAGTCCAGTAAAAAATTTAAAATAGTTATGCACTAAATAAAACTAAAATTCTTGAAGTCTGACTCTATAATTTCAGTGTAACGATATCCCTCAGGCCTCATTATTGTTTCTGTGTGGTTGTGTCTGAAATCGTTGAAAGCAGAGTTTCTGATGTATCATGCTGTTTTTAGAGGGTGAGAATGCAGAGGTTTGTGCCACGAACAATTCTTCAGGAGCCATTAGAGACAGTAATGCTGACAGCACATCTGGAAGACTACTGGGAAAGAGGAAAACGGTAAAATTTTAAAGTACTTGACAACAAAAAGAAGGAAAACTATTATTAGTGTCTGACATATCTGGAATCACGTGAAGAATGTTCCTTCATACTTTCCCCCCATCTTTGTTTCTGAATTTGGGTTCATGAGAAAATTATGATTCTGCTCTTCTGGAGTGTTAATGCTAAAGCAGGAAAATCTGTCCCCATTGCATCCTGTACAAATAATCATCCCCTGTGATGAATACAGTAAGAGTCTACAATCATTCTCTGAATTAATGATGCAAAAAGTTATTCTGCAGATTTTTTAATTATTTCAATTGGAGGTAAGACCTACCTTTTTTCATATGGCTGCCTTCACTTTGCTAAAAGCAACTGGGGTATCAAACTCAGTAAGCTAGGACAGTTGGGTGTAGAGCTTTCTATGTTATCCTGTCATGGTCTGTAGGCTATGATAGCTAATGCATTTTAATGATGGGCAGGAGACATTGTGGACCCAGGGGCGAGTAAAGGGGGTGGGGTATTGTGAGAAGGAATACCATGACACTAGTGTTTGAATGAAGCTTTACAGGATGCAGAGCCAAGAGCATTGACGCAGCATGGGGACAGATCCAGCATAGGCCAACTCACCTGCCACCTGATGAACAAACCTACCCCCCCCGGCCCACCTGCCAAAGGGTAACCCACGGAGTAGTGAATTTCAGGGTCCATGGGCGCCAGCCACTGTGTGGTTCCATCCCCACTTGGAGGTTAGAGCCAGGTGACAACCCCCACCTGGGCATGCTGCTTAGTGCTCCCCCATCAAGACGCCTTAAGGGAGTCCTCAACCTAGAGGAGGTGGGCATGCAGGCATCGCCACCCCCCAAAAGGATTCATCCCAATGCCCAAACTGCCACAAGAGCAGGGAGGGAGACCCCCCTCCCGCCAACACTCCTGTGCCTGCAACAGGTCTCTCCTAATGGAATGAAGCCAAATGTCCTTCCCCCGTTCTGAAAGGTGGATGTCATCAGGTCTGAAAAGGGCCTCCTGCTGAACAGAAATATCTGGGTGCTGAATTACCCCCCCAGGACTCTACAAGTCGAGCTGCTGATTTGCACCCCTCCCTTCTTTCTTTCTTTCTTTCTTTTTTTTTTTTTGCACACCTCCCTTCTGGTGAGGTCTACTTTGTCCAGTGATATGGCCCCCTGCCACTCCCAACGCTCTAGGCGCTCGGACAAAAGCGGGCTAAGAAAGAACATTAATCTGACAAATTAATAAAACAAAACTCAAAGTAAAATATATAATTATTTAAAATGTATATAGCACAGGCACAGAATGCAGAAGGGCTTGTAATTTGCATTAGATTAATGAGGTGAGGAGGGGGCCAGGAACAGACAGTGAATGCCGGATATGGGAAGGGAGGAACTGCGGTAGCTTGAGATATGAAGCTGATGTGCAGCTATCAAAGGAGAAAGGGTCTTTGTGGAAACATCAGTTGCTTTCCAAGGAAAGTTTCTGTGCCAAAGCATTTTGCTCAGGTCTTAAGGCTTGATCCTTTGCATATTTGAACATACTTGGATGTTCCAAAACCTGGCAGAAATGTAAAAGGGCACAAATGGTTTCCTTTGTACAAATGCTTTCTAGAATAAAGGTGGTATTGTTTTGACTACAACGAAAATAAATAGGCTTTTAAAATCCTTTGGCTACACTGAATTTTTTTAAAAAAGGTAGATTATGATTCCTATGTGTAATTTGGATCTATTTATGATATAGAAAGATCGTTTTATAGGAAGCTTCCATTTTGGGTTACTTAACGCACTATCACTTCTAATGATCTAAGTGCCAGTTCGTAAACCTTCTGGGATTGCTTCCATGTTCAACACAGCATTCTACTGGCAAGCTGTTGCTGCAGGTCACAGAACTAAGCTTGGATAAAAAGCTATGTGGATTGCAGTGAAATAGGGGAACTGAGCAGGCAAAGGAAATTCTTGTCCCAGCGGAAGCACTGCTGACAGAAGAGAAAAAGGAGGACAATTTCTTTTGGTTCCCCCTCCTCACTGCAGCGCAGGTATAAGTGAATATGAAGTAGGGGGAAATAACCTTTAATTTGGCTCTTAGAGGGCTATAGGGGGAATGGAGAGGCAGGAAAGATCCACATTGCAGATGTCCTCCTTACACTCATGATTCATACTCCAACTCAGTGTTGTTAGATTCCTTGCTGCATTCTCATACAAAAAGTGCCTTCAGACATTCAGAAATAACATTTGGTACAGCTCCTTCTAGAGTACATCATTTCAGATTAGATAGGAATCAGAATTCTCTTTGGTATTTAAATCAGTACTTAGTGCCCCTTGAAGCATGCCTGGGAGAGGGAGCTTTTTTCTAGTCTTCTGTTTAACACAATAGTTTTTCGTGTCGAAGGAGCTTTTGTTCAGCTTTGGTTTTTTACCATCATCTTCCCGTGGACTGAAATAGTGATGTCGGGGAAAGTTTGTACCACATTAATGCACATTTGAATTGTTCCTCATCCATTAAGATCAGGTCAGAATTTATTAAAATTATCTGACCTGGTTGTGTGATCTATGAATAACTAAGATTTAAAGACCTTAACAGACCTTTAAAAAGTTTCTTTCAGGAATGTGTGTTTAAGATTGGAGCTAATCAGTTGTGTTGACTTTTAAAACAGTGACAATGGCTTTATGGTTTAGGTAGGATACATTTACAACAGTGTATTGTTAACCGAGTGAGTTCTTCTGAAAGCAGAATAACTTTTGGCTGATGTATCACTGCTTTTTCTGTGGGTGCAAATGTTTTGCAGTCTATTTGGATGTTGTAAGCAAACATCTGTTAGCAATTATCATGCAGTTGCATAATGTTTTGTTGTTAGAGTTACAATAATTAATTAGGAATGTTGTTCCTTTATCCTATTTCTATTGACTTCAGTCCTAAGCATAGTTATGTTATTTTAATAACTGTGATCTTATATACACTTAATTAAGAAGTCCCGTTAAACTCCAGATTTGATTCCAAACAATCACAGATATAATTGAGATCTCTCTCTTCTTTATATACGTATGTGTGCATGTGTGTAAATAAATATGTGTAAAGTTCTCCAAGGTATTTCCTTTAAAAGTAATGCATATAAACAGTCCTTAGTTTTTTCAATATTATATTTTTTTTGTATCTTAGTTTTCTTTCTTTAAACGAAAGCCTTCGAGGCAGAAGAATGCACACAGCTGTGATGAAAGCAGCCTTGAAAAGCTACCTCAGAGTGAAGATGAAACTGGAAATCAAGCAGGCCTATTTCATAAAAATAGTCAAGATGAAAACCAGAACCATACTGAGGAAAATCAGAAGGAAATCTCACCAACCAATCAGGGCAGAAAGACATCCTCTACCTGCATAGTACTTTAGTACGGAAATATATGAAGCTTGCATATGTGTGATGACAAAAGTGACCATTTTACAAAGAGAGGTGCAGTTTATACTTGAAAACAATAATGCGTGTGCATAATGATTATGGTCTCCCCCCCCCTAAAATAAGCATGTTTGTATTGATTTACTTTGATTGTGGACCAACTTTCTAGTATTTATTGTCTTCATAATTTTAGATACAATATGCTTATCACAGTCTTACTGTTGTGGCCTTAACTCTCAGTGTTGTAACAAAAGAATATTTTTATATGTCAAATACTAGATTAAGGCATTTTATAAGTTTTCCTAAACAACTTTATCTTTTGAATCTGTAACTGTAAATATACATTGTAAATATTATTTTGGTTCAACAAAAGAACAATTGTTATTTAAAATGTTTATTCTCTATTATGTTTGCCTTTTATAAAAACAAGCAATGAAATTCATAAGTATTTAAGTGTTGCATTTCTTCAGGAAGAAAAGTTAGCATAGTCTAATTATGACAGCAACTGAACAAAAATTTCAACACAGCCATGGTAGTAATATCCCCCTTTATCACTACCATGCCCCTGCTCTCAACCATCATGTTTGTACCACTGATAACTATACAGATATAGGGAAGGGGGTATTGTATGCAGTGCTTGGTTGTGACAAAGCCTCATCTAAGTAAATGAAATCATGTAATTGACTATACCTGTACACAACATTGCCTTAAATATTTGAAAGAAGGGAAAAACCTGCATGGAAAAATATTTTTTAAATCAAGAAATGGCATTGGATTCTAAAGAGATAAGTCTCAGAAATGTTACCACCTATAATTCTATCACTTATAACCATCCCTCAGCTACACACATGGATCTAAAATTACATTGCCAAAAATAATTACATGTTAAAGTGCTTACTTTTTATGGTCACAAACAATGCTGTCATAAGACTGGTCTCTGAATGGCTTAGAATGGCAACCAAGCTCTGCACCAGTATATCCAAAAGATACACTGGTGTAAGTGGGAGAGATGCTAGAGATACACCATTTCATGTCCCCAGCACCCATCAGGCACTTGCACTCTTCTGGGGCTTGTAAGAACAAGGCATCCCACATGGGTTAGGATGGGAGACAGGGATCTCCGGCCCTGGCTACAACTGTTCATCTTGCCCCCTCCCTCCCCAGTACCTCCTCTGAGCAATGCCTCCAGCAAACCTCCCCCTTCCACAATTGTAGCCAGGGATTTTTGTTGTGGTGGTACTGGTACTGAGAACCAGCACTTGGGGGGTGGGTGCTCTCCCAACTCCTGACAGGGGAACTGGTGCAACCTTACATATGAGTACTGCCACTTATTTAAAAAATAAAAATACTGGTTTTACCAAAAAGTATGTACAGTGTAGAATACGGGAGGGTTATGCCATGCCATGCCATGATTGGTGAGCTGCAGCAGGGTTACTATGGATTTTGGCACAAGTGCTATGCTCCCTACACCCTGCTGTGAGGTCTTTTGTTTACTTTTCTCCGCTAAGCAAACATAAGATGCTGACTAGTGGCGCCCTTGGTTTTAGGATTGGGCTGCCTCTGTGGAAAAGGTTTGTGTTTGAAACAGATATTATTGTAGAATAAAATGCACGATATAGTGGCCCATAGAAATGCACATTCTGAGACATCATATCTCAGACAATCTTTTATTTTATTTTTATTTTTACATATATTTAAAAAATAAGCAAATGTTTACAGCCACAGCGAGTGAGTATCCTGGGGCATGGACAGGTAACTGTACACAGGATAGCAGCCTTAGTATTATTTTAATAACTGACATGTAGCCCATGACTTTTGACTCCTGTCCTGCAGCCCTGCCCAGGCTGGAGTCAAAACCAGTGCCCCCCCCACATTTTCGTTTAACTGCTTCCCCCTCAAATCTGCAAGTTAAAATGGCCCAACTTCCCAGGGACTAAAGTCTGTTCCATCAGGTTCAAAAGATGGCTTGGCGGCTCCAGTGCATGCAAAACAGCAGTTGTACACCACAGAGTGTCTTAATGCTCAAGCTTAGGTTTCTGTCACTTATGTGCATAAGCACACGACGATGCCACTATCCCCCCCCCCAAGTTTAGTTTCTAGAGATCCTAGAGAGGGAGCTGAACTGGAAAGGCCGACTCTGGCCAGTCACACAAGATAGCCACTGATCAGAGAGAAGAATTTTCAACAAGTGAGATTGTCCCTGGTAAAGAGGGGCATGCACCATACAGGCAGTACAGACTAGTGGATAGAGAAATGGTTTGGACAGATGTGGGTTCAAATCACCACTCTGCCACTAGGAGATTTGGGGCCCATCTTTGCCTCTCTCTGCCTGCTCAGACAATCTTTTAAAGACACATGTCCCTGTTCAGCAATTTTTTCAAGGTATAAGGGACTGTGATTTTAAAAGGTGTGAACAGGCATCTTTTCAGTGAGACAAGCAACTCAGCAGCATGCGCAGCCCTTTTTGAATATGGATCTGCTTGCTCCATTTAGATTAATGCAGCAGTTTGTGCACAAAAGAGCTCCAAATCTGTATCAGTGATTTAGTGGAGATTTGATTCATTCTTATTCTTGAGTCAAATATGCATCTGAAGATAATGTCAGGGTGAGAATAATATCTTTTTTTGGGAAAAATACCTTTAATCTGACAAACAATCATAGATTCCATGACATTACAGAGAATTAGCCCTTCATCCCATATTTTTTTTTTAAAAAGGGAGTCCAGTGGGATCCAGGGAATTGCAGGTCAGCTAGCATTACATCTGTAAATCAACAGAAACAGTTATTAAAGAGAGGCCTACTAACAAGGCCTGCTGTGGGAAAATCAGCATGGCTGCTACAAAGGGAAGTCCTGCTTCACCAACCTTTAGGAGTTCTTTGAGCAGGTTAACCAGCACATGGACAGGAGTGATCCAATAAACATTATATATGTGGACTTCCAAAAAGCTTTTGACAAGGAACCCCACCAAAGACTCTTGAGTAAGGTTAACAGTCATGGAATAAAAGGATGGATCCTCTTACAGATTATAAAAATTACACCCAATGTTATGAAATAGGTTTAGGAAGTGAAGAGGACCTAAAGAGCTTCTTGCTTAGGGTGAAAGAGGAGAGCGCAAAAGTTGGCTTGATGTTGAATCAAAAAAACTAAGATCATGGCATCCGGCCCCATCACTCCTTGGCAAATAGAAGGGGAAGTCATGGCAGCAGTGACAGACTTCATATTCCTGTGATTCAAGATCACTGCAGAAGGTGACTGCAGTCATGAAATTAAGAGATGCCTGCTCCTTGAGAGGAAAGCGATGGCAAGGCTAGACAGCATAATAAAAAGTAGAGACATCACCCTGCGAACAAAAGTCTATGGTCAAAGCAATTATATTCCCAGTAGTAATGTATGGCTGCGAGAGTTGGACTATACGGAAGGCCGAGCACCGATGCCTGGCCTCACTGCTGGACCTCCTGATGGCACTTGGTATTTTTGGCCACTGTGTGACAGAGTGTTGGACTGGATGGGTCATTGGCCTGATCCAACATAGGCTTCTCTTATGTTCTTATGCTTTCGAATTATGGTGCTGGAGAAGACTCTTGAGAGCCCCTTCGACTGCAAGGAGATCAAATCAGTCAATCCTAAAAGAAATCAACCCTGGCTGTTCCATGGAAGGCCAGATACTGAAGCTGAAGTTCAAATACTTTGGCCACCAAATGAGAAGGGAGCACTCACCGGAGAAGACCCTGATGCTGGGAAAGATTGAAGGTAAAAGAAGAAGGGGCTGGCAAAGGATGAGATGGTTGGACAGTGTTATCGATGCAACGAACATGAAATTAAGCAAACTGGAGGACAGTGGATGTGGTCCATGGGGTCACGAAGAGTCAGACTCAACTGTGCGACTGAACAACAACAACAACATTTAGGACAAAGGGAAATATTTCATTAACTCAATGAATAATTCAGCTGTGGAATTCACTGCCAGAGATAGTCATGAACACAGATGGCAAAAGGAGGTCAAAAAATTCATGGAGAAGTCCATTCATAGCTACTAGCCATGGTGCAGTGAGTAATGTGAACCTCCACATACAGAGGCATTCAACCTCTGAATACCTGTTCTGGGAAGCGGCAAGCAACTGTTTTGGCTGCTGTGTGAAACAGAATGCTGTACTAGATGGGCCATTAGTCTGATCCAGCAGGGCTCTTTTTTACAATATAGAGTCTCCATTAGAGATAGCTGTACTGGGCCATGGGAGGAAGCAACAATCCCACCACTGGTCTATAGTGGGAATTGTAGCTCATCACTTTCTAGATTTCATTTTTTTCTCAGGCTTTTTTTTTTTTTTTTTTTTTTGCACAGGTTAACAGCATGCTTTTGAGTCTGGGAGGTGTCACTTGTAAATGTTGATAGTGGAAGAGAGCCATTTTAAAATCGAATGTATATTCTCACAAATGTGGATTTTTCATCTGAGTTAGATAAGAAAAAGCAAAATCACTAGGTTAAGTCACCAGATGGGTAAAATAGAGGGGAGAGCCATAGAAGCTGAAACAATTCAAGTTTTACTTCAGCAACTGTATCTTCGGGCTTGGACTTTGGAGGCCTGTGTGTATTGGGGTTGTATGCATATATGTGGCTCGACTTATGATGAGCAACACATTTCCTGCTGTTTTGCAACTTTACCAGTCCGCCATCCTACTAGCGTGCGGGTCGTCCTTAGCAGCGGCATTTCTTCTGGAACAAGAAGTGAGCCGCGCAAGGCATCTCTCCGCCTCATTTGCGCGGCGCCAGAATGGTGCTCAAATAGCGGCGGGTCGAAGAGGCTCCCGCTTCCGAAGGGGCTGAAATGCCGGAGTCTACACGAGGCAGAGTGAGCGCGCAGGCTCCCTCTCTCTTTGTGTGCTTGTGTGGCCAGCATCGTCTGGGTTGCAGGCAGACGGATGGGGGAAGGGGACCGGGACCTCAAGGGGAGGGAAGGCTCTAAGGGGAGGCCAGACGAGAGGGAGTTCAAGTCTCCGATTTCTTTTGCCTCATAAATTAGGGGAACGGACAAGACCCTAAGTACCTGAAACGCTCCAAATAAGCGGTTTGGGACTGCAAACGAAGCCTATCCCGGGTGGGCTGTGCTCACGTTCAGAAGGCACCCGCGGAGCCACCAGAAACCGCTCAGCC